GTTTCTGGCAGCGTCTGGGTGTAACCAGTCAACACATTAAGGTCCTTTGCGGGTTGGCCTTGTGAAGTGGTTGAACAGTTGGCCAGACAGAGGGTGACCTTGAACTGGGATTTTGACATCGTCTCGTGCGCACGCATGGCGAACATGCCAGGCACACGACCTGCCCCCGCGGTGTCCGAGGAAAGCATGGCTTCGAAATACAACGTCGCTACATACATATTTATATGTATACGCTGATACGCTATCCTTTAATACGTCCTGACAAAAAGCACTTAGACCTTCTATCCTTAGGCCCCAAGTTCTACATTACACGGAAAATGCCGAAGAAACTGGAGTTCTAAATTGAATTTGAGAGCCACCTTAGAGAGATTGTCGCTCTTTAATCTACCAAGCCTATGGAAGTTGCTTATCTCAAGTCGATTCTGTTTAACTGTGCCCCACTCTATCTAAGAAAGGCTCCAAGAAACAAAGGTTCCTTTAAAAAGGCCCATCCTGATGGCCTAAATTAACTTCGCAGAAATGAATGCATCCTGGTAAACGGATGAGACAATGGGTCCTGAATAGTATGATGGATAAGAATGATAAATAGAAGTTATTTTAGCAGACCATACAAAAATCTCAACATCAGAGGATGACAAAGAGCAGGCAGAGGCTGTCGAGGGTCAGCTCTCTACAATTCTCAAAGAACTACTGAGATCTGTAGGCACAACGATACTCAGAATGCATGGCCTTCGGAAAATGCATAAATAAGGAATTACCGTGCGTCCAATGCTAGATATGAGAAATTCTCCTTATCACACCATTGCCAAATGGCTGGTAGAAATGCTAGACTCGTTTGGAATTCACATGTTTTCTCAAAGCATTAAAGACACATTTTAATTGTTGGCACTTTAGGTAATATGGAGCTTGGTGGAAGATGCTCTCGTTGGATATATCATCACTTTTTACCAACGTAGTCGTAGAAGAAACAATAAACTTCCTTTATGGCGTTATTCAGGAGATGGAGTGCCAGATAAATATGCCCAGGAAAACCCTTAAAGAAAAACTTACGCGGTGCATGCAAGATGTGCAATTCCTTTGCAATGGCTGGCTCTACAGACAGATAGACGGTGTCCCATTGGGCTCATCACCGGGCCCATTTCTCGCAAATTTCTTTGTGGGCAAGATCGAGAAAACGAAGCTAAGGCAGACAATCGGTGATCTCGAATTTTACGGTCGATACGTGGATCACATCCTCTGACTGCCAGTCCACAACACTGAAATCGACGCCATCGTCAGCACGTTTAACAAAGCGACTCCATCGTTCAAGTGTCCTGCAGAAGCTGACGTAGCTGAGGAAATGGCGTTCTTTGATGTCATTCTACGAAAGCAAAAGGATGGACCTACCCAGCGTAAGGTATTCCAAAAGAAAAATTAGACGGGAGAATACATCAACTCCACATTTCTGTAGTCCTAAATACGAAACTAAGTTCAGTCCAAGGATTAGCTGTTAGAGTTAGACGTATCTGCTGAATTGACTCTGCCAGTGCAGAACTCCAACAGCTATATAACACTCTTCTGGAAAATGGATATCCGGAAAGGTTCACTCTCAGGAATATAGGTGAACGCGGCAAAAGCCTACAATATTAAGCGCAGAAAAGGCAGACGTGCTCATAAGACTGCCTTGCTTAGGCGATGCGCAAGCGAGCTGATAAAGCGACGTCTGAAAACTGCGATCGCAAGTGTTTTCCTTGCTGTGAACTTGCTTGTGTTCTTCACAAACCCCCCCCCCTTCTACAATTGGGAGATGAGGACTGACTCCAGCTGAAGGCCACATACATATACATCTATTCTTTAACTTGCTCTTGTGGAGAATAATAGGTTGGCCTAAAAACGACGCGCCTGGAAAACAGCAGAGGTGAACTCATACCAGCCCGGTGAAGGAAACGTGAAACTAGATCAATTTCGAGTTCGTATCTCGCATACCCTGCCGAGACAAATCATTGCTTCGATGTCAGTCTACCGGACATCAACCAACTTTTCCGAGAGCTTACACTAACGCGGTATAGCAACAGCCGACGCAATTTCTATAAGACAGTGTTGTTAGAAGGAGCTAACACAAGCACATTCACTCCCGTGGCTGAAGCCGACGCCGGGTGGCGATCAAACATCATCCAGCCCCCCCTCCTCTCCCCTAGTGACAGTCGTTTACTCCGTGCAACTGACAGTAATTATCACTGCCAATAGAGGAGAATATACGAGTTCCAGGCAGCAGTTCAGAAGAAGAAGATGCGATCACTGGAACACGGACTTTATTTTCCTGACTTTTCGGATTCCATCGAGAACTCCACGCAGTTGACTCATGACCAAAGTCACGCCCTATCCTGATGTCCTTCCCTTTCCCTTCCCCTCCCGTCCCCCAGCGCAAGGACGTCGATTGGCCACTGCGGATTACGTCAGTGTGCGCAAGTAGGCGAGACCGGTGTGTTGGGTGAAAATGTTTACAGAAATACAATCATTAGGCGTGGCTCCGGTGAGACGTTTTGGTGAGAATCCGAAACTGCAAGCCAATGAATGCCCTGTTGCAGCAATCTTATTTTCCTCTTTTTCTGAAAATATCAACGTTAGCCAGTTTCAGCACAAGGACTCTAGCCGCAAAAACTTGGTTTTTATGCAGATTTGCCGACGTCTGTCCATACAATTGACTTTAGTTAGAACGCGCGTCATTCCTGACAGTCACAAATGAACACGCCCTATCTACACATACCACAACATTCCTTAAGCAACACGGGCTTTCCTTACATTAACACTCCCACCACATGCCCTACGGAGTGAATATAGTGCCACCGACATGTATGCTAATTATTGTTGAATGTGCAGACTCGCACAAAGTGTAAATCGCTCTCCTATCTAACACACTTTGATTTGGCTGCAAACCAACGTCCAGACTTTAGAAGTGCAGAGGCTTTCGACATATTGCCGTCGGGCCAGTACATTTGCATAGGAACGGTATACAAGTTTAGAAGCCTAGTTTTGGGAGTGTGAGCACACTTTCAATAAATTCTCGTCTCGCCTTAAAGTTGTATGGAAAATGGGTGCAAGTTCAAATGTGTTCATCCTTTCGGACAAGTGAGTCGTGGGAATGGGGGGTGGGAGTCGATAGTTGTGAGGGTAGGGTTTGATGGA